CTCCACTGTGAGGACAAGTCTGCACGCCCCCCCCCCCCAGTAGCTAGCAATCCAAAACAGTCCAGTGGAGCCTGAGCGGTGGGTGTTGCCTTCTGACACACGTCCGGTGATGTCAGGGTGTGTGGCATACGCAAATAAGTTATGCTAATGAGTTATGCTAATGAGCTCCTGTACCTTTTTTTCTACAAAATGACCCCTGACAGTAGGGATGGGCAGTTCGTGGTTCATAGCCAAACCCGTGAACTGAACTGAATCGGGAGGTTCGGTGATGAACCGAAACAGTTTGTGGCTCATGGCTCCGCAAACCTCATTGAAAGGGTCCTCAGTCCCTTTCAACGGGGTTTGCAGAAGGCCTGAAAAACAGCTGAGCGGTGGGGAGCAAGCTGCTCCTTGCTGTCCAGCTGCTTTTGCGATTTCCGTGGAAAACAGAAAGCAGGGGTTTAAAGGGGCTCACAGTCCCTTTAAACCACTGCTTTCTACTCTATCCATGAACTTCCACAAACTGCTTTAAAAGTTTGTGGAAGTTTGTGATGGTATACCCATCATGAAGTATGGTTCAAGATCCAGAAACAGGGCAAAATTCATAATCAGTTTTGCTTTGTGGCTTGGTTCGTGCCCATCCCTAACACAGAGACAAGCCAGATGCCCCTAAAAGACTCTACAAGCAAGGCAGGGGAGGCCAAGTCTCCCTGTGTTGACACAACTCGTATTCTGACATAGACTGTTTCTGATCAGGCAAGTTCCATTTACTCATGGTGGTGAAAAGCCATCCTCCATCAATTTCCCCAATTCCTTTTTAAAGGCCCAGTAAAATAGCGGCCATGACTACATCCTGTGGCAGTGAGTTCCAGAGTTTGTTACTTCAAATTAAGAAATGCTTTTTTGGGTCTGCCCTGAATCTACTGCCCGTTAACTTTGTTTGCGGCTCACAGGTTTTGGCATTATGGCAGAGGGAGGAGGAAAAACGTCTCCCTGCCTTCGTTTGAAAAACAAACAAGATAGCTGCCGTACCTGACGAGGCTGTATGACACAAGGGTCACCAAACTCATGCAACTCCACTGAGATTTCAAGGAGAATGCTACAGGGGTAAATTGAGGTTGGCTCTAGACAGGTCTCTCTTTCCTTTGTTCCAGCTCCTCCTGGCAACAAGCTCTCCCACTCAGGCCACTAAGCGGCCATTCCTCAGTTGCCTGAGGAAAGCAAGAATTGCCTGCAGGTGCCCTGAGAGAAGGGTGAACAAAATGATCCCTGCGGGAGTCTTGGAAAAGCACCAAACACTCCTGAAACAGGACCCGGTGCAGCCAACAGGCCAAGCTCAAGTTACTGCAGACTTGTCCCTGCTCTGGGAAACAACTGTTCCACCCCACTCCGTCTGGCTTCCGGCTCCCCTGTTAACCACGCGGCACCTCCATACGCTCACCTGTCGCTGCTGGAGCTGCTGGGAAGCCTCTCGGGCTTAGGTTTCCTCCCACGAGGCTTCGGAGGGGGCTTTTCCGCGGCTGCGGGGGGGGGGGAAGCAGGAGAGGAAAATGAGAGAGCGGAGATTTAGCCGGGTGGGAAGCAGGCACACAAACCGCACCGGCCTCGTTCTGGCACAAGGCTCCTGACAGCAAATTCACACACACACACACAAAGTCAGACTCTTACAGTGACTGATCAGGAGGGCATCAGCCCCCCCCCGCCTCCCCCCACAGGTGGAGCAGAGAGGTGGCCCATCCAACCCAGCATCTTAAGAGGTTGGTTTCTAAAGGAAACCAACAGCCCTTCTTTACCTCTTTGCTTCCTTTATACCTCGCGCTTCTCCCCGATGGGGAACCCAAAGAGGCGCCCGTCATTCTCCCCCTCCTCTATTCTATCCTCACAACAGTCCTGTGAGGTAGGTCAGGCTGAGAGCCCGCTAGTGCCTCAAGGCCCCCCCAGCAAACCTTCCCGGAAGCGCG